CGATATAAATATAAATATTAAAATTTCAATCTCTTAGATGCCTTTGAACGCCTGACGAACATGGGGGGTGATTTACTAGATGTGCACGCCATTGTAATCGATACTACTCTCCTTGAAATCCATTATATCCATATGGAACGAACAAATCGCTAGCTTTAGATGTGCTATGCATGAAATATTTTGGCGTTAGTACACATTGTAAGTAGACATGAGACTCCTGTACATCAACTACGTCATGAGAAACACATAAATGCAAATACATAGCTTTCGCTATCTCAGCACATCAGTGCTTAGGGGTACCATCGACATTTTTCCCGTGATTGCTGATTCATTTTCATACCCACCATCATATCATATACGTATATGTACGTGTGACGTGTTTCGCATGTGCATACACGCATACTCAAATGCTTCATCAATACATTCATCCATCACTTCCATACTCGTACATACACACACTTGCACATTCAAATATTTCCCATTCTAATCGACCAAAACACAGCCACTCGCATACCAACCTTGAGCATAACCAGCATCTGCTTGACGTTTGTGAGAGATCCCCGTGGGATTATCTGCATGCACAATCAAACCGTGTACCAAGGTAAGCACTTTCCACCATAAGTTTAGTATATATTTCATACACCCGTGTACTAAGGAAAGCACTTCCAACCATAAGTTTAGTATATATTAGGGTAAGAACTTTCAACCATGAGTTTAGTATATATTACAAGCTTGCAGGTCCTGAATATCGCACTACATCCCTGACTAAAAGTTAAAGACATTTGGGTTGCCCACCAAACACCACGTTTTTTTTCTCGATAGCTACTACACGATGAAAATCTCATTCATAGCACAAGTCAGTACATGCTATTGACAGCAGAGCTGAGCGTATACTTCGAAGATGGCGTGTGAGTCAAGAGTTTCCAGCGAGTGCATAAAGGGAGGAAGGGGGGAGGCTAACGTATCAACAAGTTAATGTTTCAATGGCAAGTGCGGGTACATAGCCATCTAGTATATGTATTTGGTATTCGCAACCTTGTGGGCCTTAGTCTATAACCACGCCTACCAATGTAGAAGTTGGGGGAGCATCCCATATAAACAGCTGCCGCCACAGCGATGGTATTGCTAGAATAAATACAATTAAATGTCATCCGACTCATAGGCTAGCAAATGCGCCAGACATGTCTCTGACAGCGCAATCGGATACCATGATCCTCTGACAGCCACAACATCACATTAAGAGCAAAAGGTCCTAACAAAGATCACTTCCAGCCGTATGATCTATACAAAGTGCTCTATGATACACTGACAGTCACATCATCAAATTAAGAGCAAAAAGCCCTAACAAATATCAATTCCAGTCGTATGATCTATACAAAGTGCTCTTTGATACACTGACAGTCACATCATCAAAATAAGAGCAAAAAACTCTAATAAAGATCACTTCCAGTCGTATGATCTATACAAAGTGCTCTTTCGTTCTCTATAACTCCCTTAGATCTTCGGACAGTTTCAAACAAACGTGCACGCACGTCAACCACAATATCTATACAAGAAAGCAATTTGGTTCTCTTTTATATCCTTAAACATTGGGACTGTTTCAAACAAACAACGAGCACTTACGTTAGTCACAATATCTATACAACAGAGCTAATTGGTCTCATTTTCTTCCTTAAACCTTAGGACGGTTCCACACAAACAACGAGCACGTATGATAGTCACAACAACTATACAGGAGAACTATTTGGCTCTCTTTTACTTTGTTAAACCTTCGGACAGTTTCACACAAACAACGAGCACGTGTGTTAGTCACAATATCAATGCAAGTGAGCTATTCAATTCTCTTTTACTTTGTCAAGCCTTCGGACAGTTTCAAACCAACAATGAGCACTTACGTCATGTCGATGGATGACACTGGTGATATCTGGTGATCTGCATATGCGTCGCGAACAAATACAACGCGCGGTGGGAAAAAAAAGTTGTGCAGGGGTCATTAATTGGGGCAATAACTGTCTGCAGACATAAGATATACATCGGGGATAGAGAAATAGTAGGGGATATCTAGGAGCACCCTGGTAGGTATGATAGGAGTACGAAAAAGGGTTGTACAATTACATTTAGCAATATGGGAAGACATCCAAGCGCAGAGGTATACACCGGATAATAAGACAACGTGGACGGAATGAAGGAGTGTACTAGACAAGAGAGAAAACGAGGTCTACACAAGCAAACCAGGACAAATGAGACAATGGAAGATATCAAGTGGCACTTTACCAGGTACAAGTATGCAAGAAGTACATATTTTGTAGATACAACGAACAATAAGGTGCGTAAAATCACGTCAGAACCATAGTATAGTCATGGAGTACTTCTGTAGGCAAGACGAAACGTAGATGCGCACAGCTCCTATATAAGTAATGAAAATCGACGATCTGTAAATAAAAACAGGCCTATATCAACAATCCTGTTGAATAAGAAATAGGTGATTTATTGTATCCCACGCCAGAAAAATAGTCACGATGGCCCAACCTGAGAAAGCTCTAGTAAGAGACAAGGGAGAACACATGGCCGACAGGATTAAGTAGGAATGCACGACATACACAGACAGCGCTGCATACCCTTGTGCCTGAATAGCCTTGACGAACGTGTTATTGACTACAGGGGGTGGAGCGAATATGACTGCCTTCACCTTGGTTCCCTGCGGTAAGGCGAACTTGCCACCTGCACAGAAGACATGGAAGTGTAGGTGAGTATGTATAATGGGACAGAAAATGGGTTTATATTACACATACCAGAAGCTGTGTGACATGCACGCGCAAACATGGGCTATCCACGCCTAACCAGAAAAAAAAATGATGCAGGTGTATATTAGGCTCTGAAGATTACAGAACACAGAAACTGTGCAATCTACACTTGGTTCAGATAACAGTAGGGAGCAATACATACAGTTCAAGTATACTATAGAGTACCAAAATTGGTCTATACTACCATGATATATCAGCTTGGTTTGATGCCAGTATTGAGAAAACCACAACACACCAGATATAAAATTGGATGTTTTTTCGATGGTAGCGACACTGCGTCATTTATAACAAACGGAATATAGCTACCTGTGGGTTAGACTTTCTTCATCTTTGTACGTATGACAACAATGCTAAACAAACTATTATACTCCAACTTTGGAAATCTGAACCTTGGTTCGATGATATATTGCTAAAATCATAGTTTCGGCGCCAAAATATGCCTCAGTATGTGAACCGCTATTACGTCACATGACGAAAAAACACACCTGTCTCTGGCGCGAGCATCAAACAGGCCAGTGCCGCAACCCCAGCGCCTGTATTGCGGATCCAATATAGGAAGAGAAAAGATAAATACTGCTTAATATATATATATATATATAATATATATATATATATATACACACACATATATATATATATATATACAC